TCTTTTTCCCCCATATATTGCCTTCAAATTCAATGAGTAGATAAATAATTTATTTTTTTTATCATATTTAATTTCAAACACATTTTTAATTTTTAATTTTATTTTAGTCAAATTTTAATCAAGATATTCTCACCACAACTTTTTTATTCTTAAAAAAATTAAGCTAAATATCCTAAATGAAATTTAAGCATAATAAATTTTAAAATTCTTGAATTTACGTTAGAAAATTTAAAATTTTATCTTGATTTCCTTGCTTTTTTTTTTTTTTTTCATTTCTAATTAATGTAGTATGGCATTTTCATTGACTCGTGTTAATGAATATTCATGCGTGGGATTTTTTTTTTTTTTGCTCAAAATAAGTTTATTTAACATAAAATATAGTATAATTCTTCATAGATCATTTAATTTTTTTTTATTTAAAAATACATTTTTTTTCTTATATTCATATATAATTTATTAAATGTATACTGAGGATAGCAACAAGATAGTAATCAAATGAAATTGTAGTTGCTATCTGAAAAGTAAATAAGAAAAAATATTTGTCCCATCCGTATGCGTCTACGCCCGCCTGTCGCCGGCCATCCCGAGCGCTCGATGTCCGCCGTCCCACCACCGCCAGATGTCAAACCGTGTCAGGTCGGGTCAACCCGCCAACCCGACGGGTCGGGTCCGGATACGAGTTTTCGACCCATTTACATACCCGAGTCGGGTTAGTATCGACCCGTTTGAACCCGGGTCAGTTACTAATTCGACCCGAACCTGACCCGTGACTTGAAATTGATACCCCTATAGCGGATGTTGAACAAAAGAAGGCGGTGGATATTGGGCATTAAAATTAGTCGCGATGGGTTGTTGCGGTCATGGGAGTCGCATTGTTCAAGATCGTCAATTTCTATGGTGCGAAAAGGCAACCAAAGTAGATCTTATACTAGTAGAGAAGGCCAAATGGCAAAGATAGTAGCCCCAGCCATCAGTATGAAAAAGATGGTTGTTTAGAGCTTCCAAATGGGGTTGATATCTCAAGATTCTCCTACAAATCTAGGGTTTCTAAAATGCGTAAAATAATGCCCATTTTTTAGATTTTTGTTGGAGTAATTTTGTGTCTTTCATCAATATCTACTTAATCTCATCTCTTCTTTTAGATTTCGTTTGAGACAACTTTTTAATATTTTTAAAGCAAATTTTCATTACAAAAATTCTAATTTTGTTCTAGAAAATTGCTTTATGAAACAGTAAAAAAGTTGACCCAAAAGAAACCTTAAGCTTCGTTTGGAATTTGCTTTCTAAAGCAGCTTTTTCAATAATGCTTAAAAACTAATAATTAAGCAATTAATAGCTACGATTCATCTTGTGAATCACTAACACACAAAGAAAATAATGGAAGGAAATAAAAGCATTAGCGACTGCCAGCCTATGACAACGATCAAAAGGTCTTCTATGGAAGCCTACAAATAAACAGTTGGAGCACTTAATTAGTACAAAGACAAATATCAAATTAATTGCATCTTCTTAATCATTTTTTTTTTAAATATCGAGTCAAAAAATTTTCTTTTTTATTTAGGAAATTGCAAAACTTTTATAATAATATTATAGCAGACATTCATGTATTATAAATATTTAATGATTTACATGTCATCATTGTTGATTATATTCTAATTATTTAGGCTTTATTTAGAACAACTTTTTTATTATTTTATTTTTCAGATCTTAATCATAGTTTTTACTTGGTCATCATTTTTTCGTTGTTTCAAAAAGTTCTTTACTAAAAATTTTTATAAAAATTTTAAAAAAATATTTTCTCAAAAGTAATTTTACACAGTCGTAAGAAAGCTGTCACAAACGATGCTGAATATTTTAAGGCATTTTGATTGTTAAATTTAATCTTCAAATATCATGTTTTGCTCAATAATTTCTATCATATTAACTTAATTTTTATTTTGTATGCTTAATCATTCAATCATTATTCTTTAACGAATATAAGAATTTTTATTGATTATTTTTATCATTTTCTCTCCCTTCATTTAATTTTTTTAATAAAAATAGTGTCAGAAATCCATTTTTCAGCAATCATATACTAAGATTTTTCTTTTTATATATATATAAAAAATCATCAATATTGGGCGTGGGCCTCGTAGCCATGGGCCCATGGCCACCATTGAAGCCCTGCAGAACTGTCAGCAAGATGGGCTGACGGAAGCGTCAACGTTGGTCTTTTAACGCATTAAACCATAACACGCTTGAAAGCAAGTGAATGGCTATGACAACCATTGACCATGAATAATATAAAATTTATTTGATGTGAATATAATACAAGAAAATAAAAATTTGTCAAAATATTTTAATATATATTTTTATCAGAATTATATTAATTTTATTGTACTTATTCATAAAATTACATGATAATTTACTCTTTTTATGATTTTATATAATTATATTGGTTCTCAGATATTTTAAATTATGAAAAATTTTGTGCTTATATAATTTATATTTATTTATTAGTCAACAGATGCTGAGAAACTTTATTTATAAATTTTATATAATTATGCAGTCATTAAGCAAATTTCTTCTAGAGATTTTTATGTCGTATTTTTTCTTGATAAGTTTCTAATAATTTAATTATATTTATTTTTAAAATTAATTTTATTATTTAATAATTTAATTATATTGAGAGATACAAAAATTAATCACAAGTGTGAGATATCCTTTCAAAAAAAATTCCTAGGTTAAAACATAGCCACCGAGAAAGAAAAAAATTTGGAAAATTTAAAATGATCAAGGGGTTAATAACATGATAATTAATAACCATCAAAAAATATTTAATAATATTTAAATAAAAATATACCTATAAAATAAAAAAGGCATTCACTAATTTCCATCATTTTCTTTAATTTTTTTTTTTTTTTGGAACTTGGAATCCACCCGCTGCCACCCCTGAAAGGCGCTTGGCGGCGTGACTAATCCTCGGCTGACCGAGAAGAGGCACCCACCCCAGAAATCTCTTGACCAGCACTTGATTGGGCCCAACTTAAGGAACAATTATTACTTCCTCTGACCGGACGTAAAGCTACGTCGGCCGCCAATAACATGTCGCCACGTGCTCTTACTCTTTACCGCGCAGCCCGACGACTTGACCCAGACCAGAACCCAGGAATGCTATATTCGCGTATTGCGAGATATTACTCGGTATTGCTCGGCATTACTCGGTATTTGCTCGGTGTTTCCTCGATATTGGTTATTGCCAAGCAAAATCGACCAATACCTAGCAATACCGAGCAATAGCTAGCAAAATCGAGAAATATTGAGTCATCCTGGGTCCGTTCCGGGTCGGGTTGTCGGAGCGCGCGGTAAATAGTAAGCACGCGTGGAGCGATTCTACTGGCGGCCGAACGTAGAGCTACGTCCTTTGACCGGACAAAATAAAAATTCTAACTTAAGAGATATTGCCGCTTGAGAGAAATCAAACACAAATTGGAGGTTCCCAATTATACTCTCCCACCAACCAAGCTTAAATAACTGTGGGTCTTTAGTTCAAAATTTCAAATTCTGTATCTCTCTTTTTTTTTTTTTTTTTTTTTTTTTTTTTTTTTTTTTTTTTTTTTTTTTTTTTTTTTTTTTTTTTGGGTTCGTTATAAAAAAATAGTTTCAGAACATTCATCTACAGAAGTCACGTCAGGTGCATCTGTTTCTTAAATAAATAATAAATAAAATATCTGCATCGTTCTTATGACGATGGGCTCCATTAAAGCTTTCTAGCATTAATATCAGCAAGATGGGTTGACGGAAGCATCAATGGTGGTATTTGAAAGCATTAACACGCTAAAAAGCAAGTGGATGGCTGGCTATGACCTTGACTCTCAATAAATCAATGACTGAAAATATCTATGAGATGGTTTCGGCTCATGATCAATAGCTGTCTCATAATGAGTTAATGAGAATTAGCTGCAGCATTTTGCCTTCCTATTTTCAGGCTTAAGCCATGGATTTGACTGAGAGTTATAACTGAGAATGACATTCACCTGAATGATATTCCGGAGTCGGTTCTCCATCTGGATTGCAAGTCTCTATAACTAGCTGTTATAAAGCTACCGCGTGGCAAAATATTTCACATATAATAAATAGTTTATATATATTAGGGGTGTTAATATTTGACACCACACGAAAATCCGACTCTAATCCCACCCAAAAATTTTGAGTTAACGTCAAGCCGTTTGTGAAACTAGTCGGTTTAGGTTCAAAAAACCGACCCATTTCAAAAATCGGGTCGGGTTGAACCAAAAACCCGAAATGACCAAACTACATGCACTGCTCGCAACTTCTCTGCCTGCGTTACCGCTGCGCATTTGCCCGCGTGGCCGCGCCGCCCGCACTTCCCGCTGCGCCTCTGCCCCACATGATTGCGCTACCCGTGTGATCGCACTACCAACTATGCATCTGTCCTCGTGACTGCGCAACTTCGCATCTGCTAGTTGCCTATGTCAAGTCACCCCGCGCTCTCACCATCGAAGCATCCTTCCATCCCGCATCCCCGCCGTCGACGCAATCCATAATGGCCTCACCTGGCGCCGTCCTACCGTCGACTCAATCTAGGTTTACAAAATCATGTCAGGTTTAGGTCAGCCCATTTCACCATGTTTTAATTCCGAGTTCAACCCGAAACCCGATTTTGACACCACTATATATATATATATAATCAAAATATAATTAATTATCACATAATTGAACACTTAACAAGAATAAAAGGATCATAAGAATCCATAAAGTTGTGATAGAGCATAAATAACTTTCGCTATTTTATTGCAACATAAAAATTGAGATCATTTCCATGAGATTTGTCTTTTTTTTTTATTCCACTAAACCTTGCAAGGAAGACAGTCATACACAAACACCCATTAAATGATTAGTTTATTCAACTAAACCTTGCCCAAGCCAATAATTAGATGGCTAAAGAGCATATACATAAACGGTAAATATGCTTAACATAACTTGCAAAATCAAAAAAAGAAAAAACAATAAGAATTTGATGTCTTTGTGGCTGTTGATTTATCAACATAGTCAGTAATACAAAGAATACTTTGGGTATCATATTTTCATCACAAACACTGCTCAAAATTGAATATAATCGCACAGAAGAGGAGAAAGGATACACAAAAGACCCGAAAATATATGATTTTTTCTCTGATGGGAAGTCATCCTTTAAAAGCCCAGTCATTGTTATCTCTAATTTGATACTCGAATATTCTTCTTCCAGCCACACTTTTCCATCTATATATCATATTGTAATGAGAAAAAGTAATGAAATATTTTGTGTTAGAAAGGAGGAATTCAGAAGACCATAACGCCAACCCATTATCCGCTCACTTAAAAGGCAAATTATTAGGTCCAGTCACCGCACCTATTTCTAGGTCCGGACATCCAATAAAAACTTGCCACGTGGAATGGTAAAGCGCAGTCCACGTGGCAAGTTTTTATTGGATGTCCGGACCTAATAATTTGCCCACTTACAACTGAAGTTTACCCGTCGCCATCGCCAACTTGTCTACACCTTTGGTTTCAGCATTGGTGTTCGAACCACTTTTATTAAGCCATGGGTGTTGGAGGCACTGCGCTGCTGTTGGCCGCTTCTCCGGAGTAAAATCAAGAAGCGGCGCAAGGAAGTCAAAAAACTCCCGAGCGTCAGATTCGGAGAATTTATATTTGTCAACCAGAAGCCTATCAATGGGCCAGAACTTCAACCTGCGGATTCTTTTCAAATCTCCATGTCTATCAAAGTAGTCCTTTGATCGAGATCCTGAAATAGCAATCTAAGAAAGGAGTAGAAGTTTCAGAACCATGAGATGATTGACAGGAGAGAATAAAGGATGAGAAAATATTCACACCTTCTTGGGCATCTTTCCAAGGAGTTCCATCATCAGAGCCAAGTGATCCTGAAAAAGTTAAATTTTTAGCAAGAAGAGATCCGTGGAGGAGGTTCGATGGATAAAAGAGTGTATATCTTTTCATTTTTCTTTGAATAACTAGCAACAGTAATCAGTAAAAAGTGGTCATTTCATATTTAGCAGGATTCACAACCTGAATAATCCTAAAATCATCAAGCTGGTTATTCCTTAACCTCCACAACCAAATCAAAAGGATCCAACTCTGGAGGTCTAGCAACCACTGTAGAGGAGTTAGGTAATTTAATAGGAACAAGGTACGACCTTACTATCTCTTTTATCTTGGCCAAACACAAATAGCAAAAATTATGCCAGCAGTGTACGATCTAGGTCACCACTCAATCTTCACAATAATATTAATAAGATTGATCCCCAGCAATCTACCTTCCTCATATAAGAGGCAATATCAAGCCAGAATGGTACAACGAAGATTATCTCTCAATCTCCAACAACCATCAAGATTCAAACATGGCAATCAAGCATCCTAAGGGGGTGAGGAGGGATGAAATAAAAGGAAATTCCCAAAAGTGTCCTTGGACTAATCATTTATGACCAATTTAGTCTCAGAGTATCACGTTACACCAATTTAGTCCCTCAACTATACCAAAAATAGTCCCTCACGTTGAAATTGCAATATAAAATTGATCTCAATTTACTCCCGCGTCTCTATAAAATTGATCCCACTTTAATCTTTTGAATTTATAAAATTGATCCCAACTTAGTCCCAAATGGGCCATCTTGGATTAATTTTGTCGAGTCGGTGAACTAAATTAGAGAAACGTTATACTCTTGAACTAAAATGACCATATACGAATAATTAAAAGAATATTTTGAAATTTAACACGATAAAATAATTTAAAAAGGTTATAATCACAGCCATCCATTAATCCTTCCATCAAGAGTCCCTCAATAAAGTCAATAAAATGTGTCATAGACCATATGTGGCAAATGCAACAAACAAATCATAATATCTACAATTTCCAATAAAGGCAATCATGTTTAGAAAGCAAAACATGTCCCTGATCATTCTCACATCCTCAATAAAGTTTAAAAAAACTAATAATGGCCTCAACCATACCTAAACTCTCAACTTTATATTTCCCCCAAGCAAAACAAGTTTGTAAGTCCCAGTCTAATTCAATTTGCAGTCCTAACGCTGTGCAATTAATGAGAAGTAGCTTCAACATCTCACTACCTCCGATTAAACAAACTGCACAATATTTATCTTAAAAAACCAGAGTAAACCAACAAAGTTCAACACCAATCATCCTCAAAATAAAATAAAAGAAACTAGAACATCACCTTAGGGGCATAACCAAATCAAGCCGACTTGTGAGCCAACTCTAGCTTATAGCTCAATTAATGGCCTACAAGTGCTCAAAGAGCTAATGAACTAAGCATGAGTCAATCCCCATTCAACTCGTCAACTCATTTAAAAAATATTGACATAGCATACACTTATAAAAATTAGAATTCAATGGTTTAAGTACAAACGCATCAAAAAAATATAGCTCTTCTACTTGTCTCAACTAATTTCTTATTACTTATTATGAAATTTCTTATTTTTAATCATTTTCTTAGACAAACTACAAACATGAAAATCAGCTTCTGTTCCACAACAATCAAGTCGGTTCAAATAAGTAGAATTGAGATGGAATTTGATGAATTTGACAACAAGCATGCATGAAGCATTCACCCACATAATTTCTTTATCCAAATCTAGCTTCATGAAATGAACTAGTTCATTATGGCTCGCTCACCAAAGCTATTCAAACAGACATGTCTACATCTGAATAGGACATCATTTGGCGTGTGTCAAGGGCTTAATTGGATAATTATCGATATATATGTGTATAATCATTCTCCCCCTCCTCTCTTTCTCTAATTTTCTCTCTCCTATCATTGAATTTAAAATAAATGTTTTCTTTTTTTTTGTTTAAGTTGGATTCTCTCACAAAACAAAAATATTTTTTTTTTACTTTTTTCACAATTTTGGCCAGCTTTTTCCCCACTCCAAACAAATATATATATATATTCTTTTTCTCTCTTTGCATTTTTGGTTCACCAAAAAGGCAACTCCTACCACTCCAAATTTCAATAATCCCTTCACAAAAAAGTAGAACGCATGCTTTCCATTCATCACACACGTCACACATAGCTCTCAGATTCCTTTTCTTCCTTCTAAGATTCATGCCACTCCATAAGTTGCACCCCTTGCTCACATGAAGCCAACCGACCACTTTATACCATGCTTCTCATGATTTGCCACATTATTGGCAGCTGCACGCCTGCGTATCCTCTTAGTTGCCTCCCATCCGAACTCTGCACAACTGGCATGCCACTTACAAATGATGCATGAGCAACCCACACCCTACGATCCCACCTCTCGCTTGTCTCTATACATGGCCTCGCCATCGTTTGTGTTGCACTTTGTAACAATGCACCTACACCAAAGCTCCGCTATCGCCTTGTGACTCAATCCCCTTCATCATTCATCCCTTCACATGGGAATATTTTTCGATCAAAATTGATTATTAGTATTATTATTATTTATATATTCATTAAAAATTATCTATTAATCTCACATGCAGACAAAGCTTGTATGCTAAGATGGCATGTTAAATATCCATATGCTTTAGAAATAATCTCTTCCATACATGACATTGAGAGCATATAGTTTTATCAAAGTGGGATATTTGATTGCTGATTTTCATCACCTAAGTGTTCAAAAATGCATTGAGTTTGATTCATTGGAGAGTTTTGATTGAGCCATTTTTTTTATTTTGCGTGCGTACATTGTATAAAAATTTAATGGTGTCATGCTTGCAAATCTTTAGTGTCAAATTAAAACATTTTATTTATGTTTTTAATCAATTAAATATCATTATGTTTGTTGAATGATTTTTTGGACATTTAAAAAGTGTTTTAATAAATTTTTTATCTTTGATTTTGGTAAGTTTAAGAATATTGTGATTCAATTGTTTTATTATTCCTTGCATTCAAAAGGATAGTGCATCATTGATTTCATTTAAAAAGGTTATAATTGATAAAGTCTTTTAAAAAAATTATGCTTTTCATTTCCTGCAAATTTTCTTATGCATAATGTTGCGATGACAACTCTTTTTCGTATGAATTATTTCCATGGGTTTTCCTACAATGAGCTTGACATAGTGCCTTTATAGTGAACCCACTTAGAATAGATTTATGTGACAGTGTAGCTTGGCACCCACTCATGTAGAGTTCATTTCTAAATCTCAATTTACATGATAGAAGACTTTGACGAGTTTCATCGAATTTTACTCATATCTCATCAATTGATCTATGATGCATATTGCATGGAATAGTGATCAAATTGCATTGATTCCTACACCACATGATTTCATACATAGCGACGCCAACAATTGTAGTTATCTCTCTTTTTCATGTGACTCGAGCAATTGGTTACAACACCAATTGAGATATATTTATTGTGCCCTAGCCCATTCTTTGTGTTTGATCAATGGCAACACACAATAACAACTTGTATTTACTTTATACTCATATAGGTCATTTAGGCGTGAGCTCTTTGAGCTTTTGGGCCACCACATTTGGTGAGGTGAAAATCTTTTAATGTGCCCATCATCGCACACACAATTTGAGCCATTCAATCTTTGATCAAATTGTCACAATTAACCCTTGATAAAAATAGTCATGGGACTTGTCAAATCCCACCATTGCCCGCTATTGGGCTACCATATATGATCATATCATTTCATGTCGCATGTGTCATGTCACATGCTCTTGTTGTCCATAGAATACTATAGCCCCTACATTTCTTAGTATGCGCCTTTGAACTTTGAACTTTGACCCTTGACCCATCAATGTTGCTCTAGATAGTTTAGTGGCTAATTAAGGTTTGCTGCATTAACCCTAAGATGGCCTATTTACCCTAAGAAACCCTAGGTATATCCCTTTTGGACCCTTGAATCTAATTTAGGTTAGTTGACTCTAAGTCTCTAAGTGACTAAATTGACACCTTAACTTACTAGATTATCTAGTGGATTGTCCACAGTGGTCTTAGATGATTCTAAGTCACTAAATATATAGCTCAAGTAACCCTTAGTCAACCCTAAGTGTGCTAGTGTCCCTGATTCTAGTTTCCCCTAAGTTAACCCTAAGTGGACAAATGATTAGATCCTTCAAGTACTCTAGTGATCCTAGATGGTCTAATGTACCCCATTCTTTTAGACTTTAGCTTTGTCCTAGTTAATCTAAAGTGGTCAAGCTATCTACTCGAATCAGATCTAGTTGACCTTAACCTTATATCAATTAGTAGCCCATCATATTAATCTTATACGATCTTAAGGTTGCTTACTGAATAGAATAACTTTGGTTAACCCCATAAAATTTTAATGCTACATTAAACCCTAGGTGGAGTGTCTACATATCAAATCCAATGACCATAGAATGGCATGATCCACCTTAAGGTGGACAACGCCCATTCTTCTAATCTCTTAAAATCCTTAACAACCTAAACCATAGAAACATAGATTTTAGGAATGGGCTCTTTTAGGAATGAGTCCTCTCTCATTCCTTCATTCTAGATCCCTTGACCCTTAGATTTAGGATATAGAATCTTGGAGTGGATTAACTTTCATTAAACTAACACCTTATCATAAATCCTAAGCCCTTGGATTTCAGATCTAGGAATTGGATATGAGGAATGAGTTTTCTCATCTCCTTGTTCTTTAAAACATCAAACACTTTAAAACATAAGTTTTAGGATATTGTCATAACACAAGGCCCATCTTAGGATAGATTATGCTCATCACTTTTGGGTTCTCAATAAACCTTAATGAAGAAGCCCTCAGATCACAAAAGGTGTTAAAAAATATTTCAACTCATTAATAATTTAAATTGAAAGCATCCTTTGGTAATGAACTTGAACATTCTCTAATCAAACTTTTAACTGGAACATTACATTAATAATTAGATGGTCACTAGCTTGAACA